TCGATTCTATTCAGAAAGTGCTATTACGAGCTCGAGTGCTCGTCAGAGCTCGCGAGCAGGGACACGAGCTCTCGCAATGTGACCTTGGTGGCATGTTGCAGTTTGTAATCTTAATTCAAGCGCGGTGAACGAGCGTCAGTGACGTAATTCACTGACAATGTCGTAATACAAATAGAATTCGCGCAGGCATACAGGTATCTGTAATTTAAAAAAATAAATTTCGAAAATATTTTTCAAAGGGCTTACGATGTAATATTGCTATTTTTTTAGATACTTTCATTGAACACTTATTGAACGTTCTTTGCTTCACTCATTTTTAAAATACACCTACTAATTTAAAATACGCCGCAGACAAACTAGTTGGACGCCTCGATGCACCAGTGATTGCAATCCAATGAGGAGATAGGAACCCCCTTTAGATGACTAAACATTCGTAATTATCAATTCAAATTGTGAAACATCTTATTTTTCGTGTCTCCGTGGAAGAGGCAGCATGTTGCCGAAGTTCCAGGGACTCTTTTCGTCAGAGATAGAGTACTTCATCAAACCACACTCGAAGGTGGTCGAACAGTGTCTCCATTGTACGCTCAAAGACAGGCTCCACAGAAAATAAATCGGGTTTAGGAAGACCCAAAACTCTGGCTTGCAGGGGTCGACTGCACATCGCTCCGGAAATGCCGAAGAAACCATTCGCAAATGCCAGAGCTCTAGCTGCGGATGTTGAAGCAAGGACAGTCAAATGGGTTATAGTTTACCACTAACGCAGGGTATTCTACGATGCGGGACAACAAACCGCAGAAGGCAACCGAATAAAGAGATTAAAGTTTACCAAGACACGTCTCAGCAAACCTCGTGAATTCCGGCGAAGTTCAACTGTCGCTGCTCGGATGGCCAGAAATACATGTGACATAAAAGAATAGCCGAACGTGTCGCAGGGTGTGATTACCGAAGTGAACCACGGCGGACACCCATGTCAAGGTGGCTTGGCTGCCTCCGGAGTAGCATTTATTGACGACATTACGAGTTCCAGGTTTTATATTAAAGTGAAGTCATAAATTAAATGCGAGTGCCATTAAATTGAGAATCCATGGACACTTTTATTTCCTGACAGGCGACAATACTAAGCACATTGTTCAGATAATGAGAGAGTAGCTATTATACAAAACTCTAAGACTATCAACTATGCCATTTATATTGCCAGACCTCACTCCAATTGAGAATTTACGACCCACATTGGTGATCATGGTGCAAAAAATAGAAGATACAAAAAAGAAGAGAAGTCCTGAAAACCAATTTGGAGGAAGAATAGTGCACAATACATTCACGGAAAAACTCCCGGAAATGAGTGAATTTGATGCCAAGGCGACTGCAACTGTTATTAATGTCAATGAAATGAACAATTAGTATAAACACCATCATTATATTAAGTGAGAGCTTATTTCTTTGCTTCTGTAAGTGTGCAAATACTTTTTGAGAAGTACAATATAGTATTATTTTAATATATACTTTGTTATTATAAATTAAGCTACTCCAGTCATCTTTTAAAGTTATATTTTGAGCCCTGTATTAGAAAAGTACACTTTTGCGTCCCGTGCATACCCCCTCACACAAGGCTTCCGTTAAGGAGGTGGCTAACATTCTATGGTGGATTGAATAAAGCTAATAAATAACTATACTAATAATCGCAATAGTAATAATAATAATAATAATAATAATAATAATAATAATAATAATAATAATACGAAAAAGATTGACAAAATATTGAGTAAGAGAAATTTAAAAACCGAGAAAGACAAAAAAAACCACTTGCAACGATACAAAAATATAAGAGGAACATCATAGTTTTTATTATCTGCTACGCGAAGAAAAGAGGATTTTTTTCCCACGCAATATCTTTGGTACATCTCAATCAAAAAATATACCTCCGATAAAAACGTGTTCTCACTAGTAAAATTTTGAATCCGAATTAGGAAACTAGTCAACCAACACAATTCAACGCCCAAGTGAATTTACGATTCTAGGAAATCTCAACCATACTTTCGATAATTACCCATTACCCGACCAGCCATAAGCTGTTTCTCGGGTCATTGGTGACGACCGTTGCGGTTATGCTCCTCTACGAATAGAGGCAGTCTACCGAGCCGGACCTCCGCCCGGATTTAGAAGGCTGAAGGCCTTGACTGGGCGCCGTGCCGCGCCGCGCCGCGCCCCTGCGACTACCACTACAACCGCGGCCGTGGCGACGGCGACGGCGGCGACGGCGGCGACGGCGGCGACGGCGGCGGAGGCGGCGGAGGCGGCGGCGCAGGCGGCGGCATCGCTGCGCCACTGCACCGCTGCATTATTCATCACGTCCCAGTTAATCCGCGCGCCGCCGCTACCGCTGCCGCCCGCCTATGCCAACAGGTATTGCTGCCGGGTGACTGATCTCCTTCACTCCGTAATTTCGCTGAGCATACTTGTACTCAATGATCGGTAGGTGTAAAGTGAAATGGGCGAAACATGTAGCACCTCAATATCTGTAGTCACCTAAGCATACAACGTTTAATAAAAGCTGGTAGGGGTTGTTTGTATTACGAAATGTTTGGGAATACTACTCTATAAAAGATAAGAAACCAGTCGTTGTGTGGCTTCCATACAGCAGAAAACTGATGAAGATGGCTAAGCCATCGAAAGCTGATATTATAATAAACAATATTGTTGGCAAGCACAACTCATATAATTATTTCATTGTAAATGCCAACGATAACTCACCACAATACCAATAAGAAAGTAAAGGTAAAAAATGCAATAACCTCGCATAGCTTCATTTACTTACGCATTTTCTAGAAAGTCTCTCCCTTTTCCTGTTCAAAGTTAATTGCTACATTTATTCATGCTTTCCTGTTGTTTCTTTAGACCAAGAATGTGTCACGTACAACCTTTCTATCAAATTAATAATAACTACACAGTTTACAATCTGCACATGTTTTCTATAGTATCTACATTCGTCTTCGTATCTGCACATGTGTTTGGATGACAAGATCAGCAAAGGTTTAGCTCAACTGAAAGTAACAACTAATAATATGAGAATTTTGCTTTCGTCTATCTCTGTGAAATTTCACACCAATTATTTTTCCTTTTCCTTTTTCACTCAGATCCTTACTAAAATAAACAAAATACAAATCCCTATGTTCTGATTGCTCCTACAAAAAATGGTAAGAATAAGAATTCTGGAACAGGACGGCAGATTGGTACAGAATGGTCGATCGTGGGTCATAGATCATAGGCAGACATTTTAGGGAATCATACAGAATATTTGAACAACTGGGCCAAGATTTTTTTACCAGCAAGTGCACGACATATCGTTCATGGAAAGATATCCCTGGCACGACTAAAAATACAAATATTGAATTACAACACTTATTTTGTACTACTTTATAATAATTATTTTGACGAGAACTTCTCAGAATCTTTTTAAAACTGATTGTACCTTAATCCATCAAGTGTTAGACGAGTGGTACATTCATTCAACTTTGTTTACGTTAATAGCTTATTATTCACATCACAAATGCATTAATTAAACATTACATTGATTATCAGAAATTAAGCTAGTGGTGCTACATAATGGCACACATTTTCGCATATTAGTTTTCTATTTCCTTTAGTCTCAGCTAGCTTTACGAACTTGCCATATACTCTTGCCAGCTGCCATCTATCGCCGCCCAAAGAATTTTTTAATATTTTCTTAATTGTTCGGTCTTCTAATAAGAGAACGGAAATATTATTTTATGGACAATAAAGAACAGTAAAACCTCGTTCTAAATTCTCTTTTACTTTGAAACATTTGCAGTCGTTTTTAAGAAAATGGCGCTGAGGCGCTAATGTAAATTCCAAATTACAAACTAGATTTCACAGAAATCGGTTGAGTATTCGAGAAATATTATCTGACTTTATTTAAATCACATGTACTCATCAGTATAATAATGTGAACAAATTGTCACTAGTATAAATATTAACGACGTGAGAGACATGTCAAAAAAATTACATTTTTGAAATTTTTGAAAAAACAAAAGAATACAGCAATATGGAGTTTATGTCATCATATAGAGTAAACTTAGCACTACTAAAAGTTGGAAGAACAAAATTTCGAGCCGTTTTTGAGAAAATCGGTTTTTTTTATAACTTTTAAAAAATGCACGTATTGCTCGTAATATTGCGCGAAAACTACTAAAAATGTTTTTAAAAAATGTATATGACCTTAAATAACGAATTCACTCTGGAGAACAAATTTAACTTGAAGTAAATATCTCTGTCTTAGATTTTGTAGTTGTTGGAAAACGGCGCGAGTTAATATTGTATGAACTTGGGACCTATGAGACTTTTAGAAGTATATTTACTCAATTTTTACAAGAAATTTACAGGAAAAATTTGGAGTTGTTTTTGAAAAAAAATTGAAATGTGTGGGGAGCTGCGTGTAAAGTACCCCCAAATTTTAAAGAATGTTTTTCGATATCTCAAAGCTTCAACTCGACCCAGATGTACAGGGGTTTCTTCAATTTTGAAAAAAATACTATTCATAGTTTAGATTCTAGTAGTTTTCACAGACGGACAGACAGATGGACGTCTTGAAAAGAACCTGAGATACTGAGAAGATTTCTCTCAGTATCAGGGGACCCCAAGACGTGTATATCCGTTAAAATCTCGAAATCGATTTTCCGCAGCATTACATAACTTTCTATATACTACATATAATACTTCGATACGTACGTATACGAGAAAATAAAAATCGAATTTGTAATAATTCGTATGAAAAAAGAGAGAACCTTAATACAAATGCATGTGAAACTTTGCTGAACTCTCATTATTGGGGCAGTTATTATTAGACTTGATATCTTCCTTGTTCTCTACTCAACCAAAGAATGCGCTCGCCAGTGTTCTTTCACCGCAAGCCGCATTCGCTTGGTGTGCCGGGCACGCGCGGGTGGCAGGAAGAGGCAAGGGGCAGCAGCGGTACTCACGCTTGCAGGGCCCGCGGTAGGCCTCTGGGATGGCGCGGCCGCGCAGGCAGGCGGCGCCGCGCAGGTGGCAGGACGACGCGTACGTGACGCCGTCGGCGCCGCACACGGCGTGGCCACGGCGCGGGCAGCGGCGCGCCGCGCACTTGACGCAGTGCGGCCGCAGGTTCTGGTCCAGCAGGCAGTGCTTGCCCGCCGGGCAGCGCAGGCGCTCGCAAGAGCCTGCGTACCAATGCGGAGGATGCATAAATTCGGAATAGCAAACCGTTTTAACATTGTCATGACAACAGTTACGCAAGTGTGGTTTATTCACTAGCCCCGGAGAAGACTGTATTTAATTTACAAATATTAATTTTAAATATTACACACAGAAAGCCTTAGAAAAATATTTGGGAAACTTGTGAAGTATACCCATTTTTTCTCTCTATCTCCTCTAAATGAACACAAAGTACAGATGACACATTTGTTTCACTTATAAGAAGCCATCAACATAATAATAATAATAATAATAATAATAATAATAATAATAATATGCCTTTATTAATATGTCGAGGCTCGGGTCATCATCCCCGCTCTACCGCCTAACGACATGTCACAAATATACAGAGTAATGTAGTGATAGTAAAAGTACTAAGAAGTAATGTTATATAAAAATGTAAATGTAATGTAATCTACAAGTAATAAGTAGTTAGTGGAAAGCAAACGTTATTTAAAGCAACTTATAAATAGATAATATAATAGGTTAAATGGGTACAATGTTACAATAATAAGTTTGAAATAATTTTAAAATCAAGACTGTGATTGAAAACACAATTTGAACTAAATAAAATTATGTGCTTTACATATCTGCGCGCTATGCTGCAGCCTGGTATTCACTCCGAGCGACTGTCATCTATTAATCGAGAAAGACACCATCACTCGCCGCTCGATCCTGGAGGAAAACCCGCTAGTCGGGGAAAACCCACCAGGCAGACTGCGTCCTAATACAATGGAAACTAAGCTAACATGAAGTAACAGAACATACAACCACGTAAGTCTACTCCTGTTGCGAATATCCTTACCGTAGTCTTGGTTCAGATATATCTAAGATTAATAATAATAATAATAATAATAATAATAATAGTAATAATTTTTATAAGTAAGAATTTCGCTTATTACGTCGTTGGTACGATGGAGTAGATTGGAAAGCAGACCACAGATGCAACCCGCAACACTCTCCATCATCATGTCCAACTCGGAAATGATACGTTTGAAATCCGTGCAAGCGAGATTTTGTGTTAAACGGGACAAGTTACGTTTCTTATGCAGTAATCTACACAATGAGACTTTTTGGGACCTTCTATTATATTTCTGAAGGAAACCCAAACTTCTTAGTACAAGTTGTCACAATCGTTCAAAGTGTTTTGTTGTTTTTTTCAGCTACTGAACAATATGTTGATTTCAATTAAATGTTTAGTATTGTTTTCTTATTGATGAACATAAAGACATTAAAAATTGTACAAGTATATATTACAAAATTTGACTAAAAATAAGATAGCCGTCTTTACTTCCCCTTTGAAGGAAGGCGTAGGAAGGATTATTTTCTCTTAAAAATCCACGGATTCGATCGGGTTTGAACCCGCGAATTTGGGTTGAACAAGAGAAGTAGAAGTCGGATACAGTCCGATAGATTGATTGTTCTAATGTTCGGACAATGTGTTTTGACACGCTTTGTAGGAATTCTGCGTTGTTATATTTCTTAGTATGGTAGGAAAATGTATATTTTGTTGTTAAGGGTTATTGGGTTATTGGATAAGTACCAGGGCTGTAATTGACAATATGAAGGAGGCATTTTCATTTAAAACGCAACAATTATCGAAGTTGAGTTATTTAAACTAATGATGATCTACAAAGTAAAGAATAATCGCACGGCATCACCTAGTATTTTTATTGACTCATTTAATTTATTGTTTAATTTATCTCAACCTGCAAATGCTTGAATTTTAGCTATTTTTTGTAAAAAGATAATAATTTTATTAAAATTATACAATGTTGTTTTATTATTTTGTGATCACGTAATCAGGAAAAACTAGTTTCGAGAATTCTTTTTAATCCATATTTTAAAATGTTATGCAACATACGAATATACGTTGTCTCTTTTTATTAAGTAAGTAGTCTTAAAAGTAGTCTTAGTAAGTAATCTTAAAATTAAAATTAGATTTATCTCCCTAGATAGAATTTAAATAAAATATATAATTTTTAAAATATAAACTACCAAGTACTGTAATACGAATAAGATAAATTATATTAGTCAAAATGTGTTTCGATTGATCAACGAAAAGACCGACTAATTCACCAGAGTATCAGTGTTCCGAGAACACATTAAAACTTGGAAATATTTTCAAGTACTTAAATAATTATTTTTAACACTATATATTTTACAATAGGTGATTGGTAAATGCAACAAAACTTTCAATGAGTTATTTTCAATGGTAGCGCTAAGAAAAATATATACCTCGTAGGAACCTCGTGGAAACTTTAATGCCCCATTTGCTAAAGCGAGTAACCCAGTAGCCAACTTTCATGGCAATAGGATATTCGCTAAGACTTAACAACTAGTCATTATCTGTAATTATTGAAACATATGTGTCAAGTATTTTGAATTTTATAATTTTCATTACTAATCATACTTAATTACAGCCCAGGATATGTAATTGCAAAACTCAATATTTTTTCAGACCATTAACCGAAAGCTTGAACCATGTATTAAAGCAACCTCACAGAGTGACAAGCGAGTTTTTAAATTTTTATTGAGGTCGGATAATCGTAGATAATTGTCAGCTCCTCCGATTTGCTTCTCTAGACTCTATTCATAAAGGTCTCCCTCTATTTCATTCCGTGACATCAGGAACACGTTAAAGGAACGCTATATCTGCAGACAGAAAAGGAACAACAACCTTCTCAACAACGGTTTTGGCACTCCTGCTGCCCCTTCTGTGCTAAACGCAAACATTAGCAAAACCACTAATGAACGATCCGCAATTGGTAGAGGGATGCATCACTCACTTTGGCAGTGTCCGTCGTAGGCGACGGTGAGGGCCTGCGTCTTGCGTCGGCAGGCGCGCTTTGCGCAAGCGGCACAGCGAGCGTAGGTGCGGCGTCGAGCCGCACACGGCCGCGGCGCCGCGCGCCCGCCCGCCGCCGCCGCCCGCGCCGCCGCCGCGCCGCCGCCCCCCGCGCGCCCCCGCGACAGTCGGGCCGCACACGCAGCGCGGCTGCCCTGCCGCACCTCGCAGCGCCGGCCCTCCGCACTCCACGCCCGCGCACGACTCTGCGCACAGCAAACGCGCACGCGCGTCTTAGCGCACGCCGGAGATCGCGGTCGCCAAGCGACGCCAAGTGGTTGGCTGCTCATCAGACAACCAATCCCTATCGGGAGATCCACTAGAACGAAGTAACCGCGCACGATCTTCTTATACTCTGGCTCACAGCTAGTATCAGCACGACACAGCTGAGACATAATAGTTTAACAAATAGTTGGTGAACGAAACCTACTGAGCCGACTGTACAATGCAAAGATCAAGTACGCACACAATGTTTCTTATATGTAATAATATGCTTTTTCCCATTCTCCTTTTTCATCTACGAAAAAGAACAATTTAACCATGGGAATGTCACCTAACCATCGCGTCGTGGCGTCTCCAACCCCGCAAAAGCTGCGGTAAATTGCTCTCAGAGGCGAAGGGGTGATTGCTGGTGTCTCGCATCACAAACAAACATGTTGCTGGAAGAGCGTGAATAGAAGGCAAATGTTGCAAAATATGCCAAAACTAGGGACAGCTCCTGCACACTCCGTAGGCTCTGATCGACTCTAAAGTACGTTTTCACGTTCAAAACATCACGCACTTATGAATTCAACTCTTTTACACATGAAATAGTATATTTTACTCGAAATATTAGAACTTATTTTCGGGTAAAAAGAGCATTGCTGAGCAGATGACGAGTACTATTTAATAATCTTGGTATGAGATAAAAATTAAATTGACTTTAGTATCAAAAACGTCTATAAATAGATATTATATTCTGCAATTCGAAAAAATTCACAGACTGATTCCAACCATTGTATTTTACCAGCTTTTATTAATGACAATGATCAGCTTGTAATTATTATTGTGAGAAATGAACCCCACGATTCCTTCTGATCCGAATATAATAATAACTATTTTGTTGACTCATCGCTTGCTCGTAAACATGACATTCGTCTAAAAGGAAAAGTTTACCTATGTCTTGTTGTATTATTCGTTTTCGAACGTAATCTGTACGGCATTGTTCGAAAATTAATATAATTTATGCAGCCTCTACTTGGAATATCTAGTTACGACATACTCTTCTGTTCACCTTGATGTTTCAGACACCTTAGATGCTTGTTGCCTTTCAAGTAAATCTTTCAAAGATGAAGTCAAAACTAAATATTTGATTTGATTTACCAGCATTGTACTGAATATATTTTTTATCAAGGATAGTAAAACTAATTTTGTAACTCGCTCTCTTCGTAAATCATTGACGTAGAAATACTTTTTTGATTGTAAATAAAAAGTTCAGAACTACGTTCTTATATATTAATAAGTCTTAATTATAAATTTTCATTTTCATTTCAATTTATCCACTGCTCCTTAAATTTTAGAGTTATTTTGTAATTTTAGATGAATTTCTAAAGCACGTAACTATGGATTTCTTAAAACCCATATCTATTAATAATGATTGTCAATTTATATGTAATTTTAAAGGACTGAGAATTTTTCACGTCTCCAGGTATTTTCGAGCTGAGACTCTTAGTGCGTTAGGTGCGCTTGCGCTGACTCACCCTTGCAGGCGCGGCAGGGCACGCCACCCAGCACGCGCCAGAAGAAGAGCGCGCCGAGTCCAGGTCCTCGCTGCTCCACGCCGTCGCCACCGACGCGACCGGCAGCACTCCTCGCGCGTCACCTTCTCGTCCCAGCAGCTCGGTGCAGCGGCCGTTGCTGCGCACGCGCAGCGACCAGCAGTTGCCGCCTGCGCACGCCAGCGCACGCGCGCGCCGCTTCAGCTTCAGCCTACCCCGCGCTCACGCCTTAGTCATCGCGCAGCCGGGCGCGGACCGGGGCGGGACGGGGCGGGCGCAGCAGCGCAGCGCGGCGCAGCGGGCGGGGGGCGCAGGTGTGACGCGCTCGGGGCGGCGGCGGCGCGACCTTGGCGGAGGCAGCGTCTGCGGGGCGTCTAGACGGGCCGCCGCGCGCAGACCGCCGGCAGACGGGCGGGCGCTGCGATCATTATCTGCGGCGCGTGGGGAGGATTACAGCGGGAGAGAGAGAGGGGGAGCGCCCTTCTGCTAATTGCCGCGCCCCGCGGTCACCTTGGCCCAGGTCTCGCCGCCCGCGATACGTCATTCGTGCGCGAGATGCGCCTCTCAAGTGCGCGCCGACCACGCCTCGCAGCCTCCCCCTGCCGCCCCCGCAGCAGCTCCCGTCCGCCCGCCCACGCAGCCGCCCCCGCACGCCCCCGCAGCCGCCCCTGCAGCCACCCCGCAGCCGCCCTCCTAGCGTCCCCGCAGCCGCGCGCCCCAGCCGCCCCGCAGCCGCCCTCACAGCGCCCCCGCAGCAGCCCCGCAGCGCTCCTGCAGCCCCCGGCCCCGGCAGCCTCCCGACTGTCGGCCTCCGAACGCCCCTGCAGCCGCCGCGCAGCCGCCGCAGCCGCCCCCAGCGCCCCCGCAGCCGCCCCCGCAGCCGCCCCGCAGCGCCCCCCAGCCGCCCCCGCCCGCTCTTGCAGCCCTCCGGCCCCGCAGCCTCCCGCGACGGTCGCCTTCGCAACCGCCCCGCAGCCCTCCGGCCCCGCAGCCTCCCCGACGGTCGCTTCGCAACCGCCCCCGCAGCCCCGGCCCCGCAGCCTCCCCGACTGTCGCCTCCGCAACCGTCCCCGCAGCCGCCCCCGCAGCCGCCCCCGCAGCGCCCCGCAGCCGCCCCGCAGCCGCCCCCGCAGCGCCCCCGCAGCGCGCCCCTGCAGCCGCTCTGCAGCCCTCCGGCCTGCAGCCTCCCGCGCGGTCGCCTCCGCAACCGCCCCGCGCAGCCGCCCCCGCAGCCGCCTCCTAGCCGTCCCGCAGCCGCCCCGCAGCCGTCCCCGCAGCCGCCCCGCAGCCGCCCCCGCAGCCGCTCCTGCAGCCCTCCGGCCCCGCAGCCTCCCGACGGTCGCCTCCGCAACCGCCCCCCGCAGCCGCCCCCGCAGTCGCCCTGCAGTCACCCCGCCAACCGCCCAGCGGCCTCCCCTCCAACCGCTCCGCCGACACCTCTGCAGCCGCCCCGCAGCCGCCCCCGGCTCCGCAACCTCCCCACTGCCGGCCCTGCAGCATCCCTCGCAGCCGCCCCGCAGCCGCCCCCGCAGCGCTCCCGCAGCGCCCCCCGCAGCCCGCCCGCCAGCCGCCCCGCAGCGCCCCCGCAGCGCCCCCGCAGCCGCCCCGCAGCCGCTCCTGCCAGCGCCCCGGCCCCGCAGCCTCCCGGCTGGTCGCCTCCGCACCGCCCCGCAGCCGCCCCGCAGCGCCGCCCCCGCAGCCGCCCCGCAGCCGCCCCCGCGCGCGCCCCCGCAGCCGCCCCGCAGCCGCCCCGCACGCCGCACGCCCCCGCAGCCGCCCCCGCAGCCGCCCCCGCCGCACCGTCGCGGATTCCCGGACTTGCATGCCGCGCCGCGCTTCAAAATGCTGCAGCTGTTCCACTGCAGATGATTGTTTACGAGTCACCAGACTGAGGCGGGTTCATTCCCGGCCACACGTGACAGACGGAATGTTACGTGTGCAAGGATAAATTCAAATATCATATGAACCCTCGGGATATTCCCACATCAATAACGCGAGAAGTAAACAACTTTCTAAATAAACATCAACAACGGAGGTAAGGGAGGGATGTTTTACATCTACATAAATTAAGTTCAAATAGTTTGGAGCATCATTATTTTCGCATTGAAGCTAACCACATACAAGCAAACATTTAAAGTTCAAATATACACTGTTGTATTATGGAAGATAGTTTTCTGAGACGATCGAGAGAAAATAACGCGAAAATAAAGATACAGCTGGGTGCCTGACTGTAGAGACTGATGTTTAAACTGTCATTATCATAAAAATGATTAAATCAAGATTCCCTTCGAAGAAGCGAAGACGTCTCTGATCAAAGCACAGCCTGGAACTATATCTATAATATCTTATAGATAACATGTTTCGCTGAATTCGTAGTTGCGTCATTTATAGTAATGAAGTTATGAATCTAATCAACTTAAGGTGCAATTATCCTTACAGTTTGTGAACTGTGTAATATTAAATGTATTTTTTGCAAATATCGATTAAATATTTAAACTCTGAAATTTAAAATTTACCCACTCTGTTGAATATCACAAAGTATCTAACTGAATTTTTACTATATCTATACATTTAATTGTAACTTCGTAAAAATTACTTTAGGAAGAAAAATCAAACAAGTTCTGGACTTTTTCTACAGAACAGTATAACACTCTACAATTGTTGTACTGATTTTGTATTCCACCCACATACGTTATTTTTATGTTCTAATTTGCAATCAGTTTGCAAGCGGTATTATAAATTTAAATTCAGCAAAAAGTGTTCACTAACAATATCTATTCATTATCAGTTGTTATAGAACTATCAACCAATACACATTGACATACGCTTTTATTGTGCCTCCGCATCTCAGATTAACTTTTAATTTATTTTTCAAGAAAACATTTCGATCTGTTATTACTTTGTACTTAAATCGTTGTTAACATTGAGCATCTTCTTGCATCTAAGAATATTTTTAGTACTTATTATTTTGCTACACGTATCGAATTTAACCATAATGCTTACTGATTTATAAATACCACTCACATAGAAACTTTCCTGAAGAGGGTGCTATATCGCACCGCAGCTGCCGGAAGGTGAATGAAGATAAATGAGCGAAGCAATGTTATTGAAGGATAAACTATTTTATAGAGTTATTATCCATCTCACCAGTTGTTTGTCTCATAATTTCAACTTGATATATATCAGAAGAATTTTTCATATTTGTCTCCACCCTGAAAGCAACTAATCAAACCGCAAGCGGTAGTTAATTGTATCGGAAATCACGTACATAAACAGAGACGTTTTCCTTGGAGTTATGGTGGCTAGTCTCGAATGTCATCGCGGCTGACATGAGGGTTTCGAGGTTGCACGAGCGAGACACTCAAGGACGCGTCAGGAACCGCGACACCGCTTCGCCCTCGCAGCCGCCGCCGCCGCCGCCTGCCGCGATATTTATCCTGTGATTGTAAGGTTGGAGAACATAGTAACTAGTATAAACACGTCTTGTGCGCGATAAAGCCTCCCGTCAACTGCCGGCAATCAAGAGGCGACAATAATACAAACCTGTTTTCACACCGCCGCGATTGCACTCCACGATTGAGTTTAGAGTGCAAAGAAACGAATATGTCTGCATTAACACCATTATACTAAATTTTTTTTTAAAGCTGGTAATTAAATCTGAAAGACGATCGATAAATTTAAAGAATCAGATAGGTCGTAAAGCAGTAAATAGGTTCCGAGGGCCATATATGAGGAGAAAAGTACGTTCTATGTTTGCGTGTCGGTTCGAGTCGTGCACAAAAAGGAGAGAGATCTATTGCAGATGAGTCATCGCGCCCCAGGATTCTCGTGCTGGCATTCAAGTTTGCAAATGGACGCACACTTTTAGATGTAATGTAACTTTCAGGCACCATTAACTCTGCAGTTATAAATATATTTTATGAGTATACTATCAAATGATGTACGAGCAATGTATTTCAATTACCAAAGTACTTGCTTGTATACTTTTCCATTGTTAAAGTGAAGTAAATTGAGATATCACGTTTTGCACATAAATATTTAAACACAAAAAGCGTGTAAAAATAAGATTTTTTAAAATCTTAAATATATCGAGCATGAGTGACGCAAGTATTCTGTGAAGTATGCATATGTGATGAGGGCGCGCGTATTCAGAAAAATCCGGCACATTCCTTCGTGAGGATGATCGAGGTTTTGATTGATCTCTCTGAAGATAATGTGTTGCATCTTAACCACCTTAACAATATAGAGGGCATGGAAATAGACAAATAACGATGGCGGCACTGGATGTTATTAAGACAGGAATAACCAGATTAGGATCTTATTCCAATCATGTCCTAAAATGGCAGGAAAAATCGAACCTATTATGCAAAATGGAAGTAATTTTATTTACTTCACAGTAACGCTTAACCTCGCCACGCCAATGTTGATTAATAATTATTTCTCGTTTCCGAAATGCGAAATAATAGAGCCAATGACTCAGGACATTAGTCCCGTAAGCTTAGTGCATGTTTTATCACACTATGGGTTTTTTTCATTCCTCGCTGGATGGCGGCATACACGTCGGCAAGTGGGGTTTTCCCCAACCAGGCATCTCCCATCATTGAAGCATCGTTTCAGTCGGGACAAGCTTTAAGCTTCCAATTGGTATCCCGGCAAGTGTGATAGTGTGGTGCATGTGAGTGCACGTGTAAGGGGGGGGGGTGGATAGGACAAGGTAGAGGAAGGAAAGATCGCGTGCCGTTCGTGGCCCCTTTGTTAGGGGACTTCTTCAGCATTCGCGTGCCATTTACGGGAGGAACCACGCATAAACTACCAATAAGAGAAGTCGAACTAGAATTCTCCTCAAGATGGCTGCTGAATTCGTCCGTCCCGTCAAGCTCGCCACGCTCCACGCTCCACTCTCTCTCTGCAACGCTCTGTCCATCGCCCCTCACCCGACATCGCACATGCCCATCGGAACGAATATTCAGTTTTCTTCTTTACTTACTGGAAACCAACTTGAACTACCAAAATGAATTAAGTTGGAAGCTAATAGCCCGCTGCAGCAAAAATGTAGCTGTAGAGGCTGTGGAAACTAGAGTTCTAGAGCAACAAGAATTGGTGTTGTTGCTTGTCGCATGACAGCAGCGTTGTAAGCAATGACGCTCTAAGTATGGCATGAGAAATTGAGGACAAAGATAATGAAGCCTTTGTATGTTTCAATTAAAACCTCAATTGTTTCATTGTTTACGGATATC